GGCAGCAATTTGGGCTGTGACGGAGGAGAGCCCGGAGATGCTCTTTGTGACGTCGGATTCGATGAACTCTCTCTTGGCCGATGAGCTGGGGAACGAAGCCAGGATCTCTTGGGCAGCCTTTCCGTTGCGCCCGACAATGACGATATTCGCGTCTCCTTCCGTGTGAGCAGCAAGAGCCTCGGCCATGGCGCGTCCTATCCCAGACGTGCCGCCCACGAAGACGGCGGTAGGTGTGTGGAGCGAAGCGAAGAACGCCTTGTTAGAGGCGCGAAGGGCAGGTAGTGGCGACATGACCTCGAAGTGTTGGAGCAGGATAGATAGTCCAAGAAGAAAGACGGATAATAAGACAACGCGGTTGAAGAGACGACAGCAGGACGTCCTCATCATGCGTGAGGGAAAGAGGAAGGAACACGCTCAGGACAAATTGGAAATGACATTTGAGTTACATTGATCGGACTCGCAATGCCGCGACGCGCGTACACCCTGATCTTACCGTGGTCCAAGCAACCCACATTGAACATTCTATCCATCGTTTGCCCATTGGTGTAGAACGCGTATGAGTGTGTTGGTAAGTGACTCGCGTGCCTCCCTACTACTCTAGTCAACTTGTTAATCAACCTGCGGTCCGACACTGGTCCCAACTTGTTCCAAGACGCGGCTTGGCAGACCCTCGCCCAACCTTCGCTCAAAGAAAAGACCATCGTTAATTGACAGCGAGCCCGCTAATGGGTAGAACAAAGATTGTACGGCAAATGACGATGTATGAAGTCCCCTTTGACATTTTATCATCATCGGGGGTTTCTTATGCACCCTTTCAGTTCTTTCAACTCATCTGTGCTTTTGAAAATCTTGACAAAGGAGCTTCATGCCTAACTTCAGGACCACTTCGAAGAACCCTTTATGCCACTCGCCAGCGATACCTTTGATGCCGCCGCTCCCTTTGTGATGGACGCTACGTACATAAATGCCTCTCATTTGACGGACCTCTTCGAGAACTTCCTTACACTCTACTCAACTCACGTTTAAGCCACAAGGTGTGTCCGGTTACCAGTGAATGTGCCTCCAGGGAATGATTTGAAAGCTGATAGCACGCCTCGGAAGCCCACAACTTAACGGTTTCCTCAACCCCTCGAACTCGCCGACTTGCATCAACTCGCTATTAGTTGCTATGGCCGAACTTCCTATTCCCAATGCCTGCGTTGATCTTCATGCCACGCCGAACGATACTACGGCACCACTAGTCACTGTACTCGTCTCTCCTCTCTAGTATTCTTCAGCGATTTACTTCCTTCCAGATTCCGAGAGTCGGGGCACAGAACACTGCATCTCACACCGACACCGCGACCGGGACAGACTCTACTTCCAAGCTTAAATCCCTCCAGTCCCAGCTTGAGCACGCAGTGTCTATCGACGCACAAAGCCTAAACCAGTCGCGTCCGCTCGTAAAAACGCTACCCCTGTTCATCGACATGGTACATAGTAGCCTCAAGCTCAAAGACACGGAAACTCGGCTTGGAGATTCGTGGGAGTCTGCCATTCAAAGATTACATGAAGAGAACGTCCTCATCCGTTATCTGCTCGCAGTCTCCGAGCTGCTACTGCGCTGTTCCCGGTGCCACTCGGAGGATACTGCACTAGAGCTCGGCCGAAGTCGATACACTGCTTTTGCGGTTGTCGCCCTGCAGAAGAAGTTTTCAGCGGAGGAGGCTCAAACGAAGCTTTCCGATACTCTCAAGCAGTTGGCTCAATGTCAAGATGCCCTTCGACAGTCACTATCTTTGCTCGCAGTCTCGACGGCGGCCTTGGGAGGGTTGATGGTAAACACGATGTCAAAGAGGCTTGCCGAAAGCTCTCTGGGCAGCCAGAGACTTGGGAAGATAGACGAGATGCCGTTGCTTACGCGTTCAAGCCCCTGCAGCTCTCAGACTCCGACGTTACCCTTTTAATTTGGAGCCTCTTGACGCATGAAAGTTGGTGTACGTGGGTTTGTGCCTTGGTGTTCTTCATTGTGATGACTCAGTAGCGTACGATCTGTCTTCCTGTACCATATTTATCTCCGCCGTAGCCGATATTACACTTGAATTTTGCGTTTGAGAGCCGTTGGAGGCGCTATGTTACCCACCGTACTACCAAGTCACCGGCGAAGGCAAAGACCAGAGCGTGGCTGTGCTAAAAATTGGCGCCGTCTTTCGAACCAAATATTGTTGGCCTCAACCTTCATGTACTTTGGGGCCAGAGTCCCCATGTTGCACTGCTCTATGAACGACGCGTGTAAGCCCGTGGGTAGGATTATCCTCTTGGCAAGGGCTAGATGTGAGGTCGGTCTCATATTCAACACTGTCTTGGTTTGATGAACTTTGCTAGCGGTGACTAGGAATAAGCCCGCCCCATACTGGTCTCTATTCCAATCATCTTCTCGTATTCCTTCATTCCTTGCGATGGGCATCAAAGTTCCGGGTGCGCTATATGTCCAAGTCCAGCGAAGCTCACCGGGGTCAAACAAGATCAAGATGTTGCACGTTGGCACTTCCTGATGGCCGTCCAACTCCAAAAAAAAATTCAAGCCGATTTTTGAATCGCGCTTTGATACGGGCCGCAGACATAGGCGCCTCTTTCAAGCGCCATGAAACGTTCCGAGCCACATTCGGTCCGATCGAAGCGCTTTGAGTGTATACCGCTCTGATGTAGTTCAACATGGAGATCAAAAAGCCCTGATACCGGACAGGTCTACAGCGGTCGTGGTCAGCGGAGTATGAAACACGAGCCGGGCTTGGCGGGCTATCGTGGTCTGTCCCGACTCACCTCAGCTCAACTCTACACACTTTCGAAAAGGCGGGTAACAGATCAAGAACCGGCAAAGCGTTTATATACTCCTCCTGCGAGAATCAGCGAGTTCGCTATTTGTATAGTGCGCGCCGCAGAATCTGCTTAACGCTCGTTATAGCTCCTCTTACGCTTTACAATATGACTCCCATAACGGAGCTGAAGCTTCGAGACGACCGCACCGACACTGACCCGCTTTCTGGCGGGAAGAATAGCACTCTCGGTGCGTCCTCAGTACGTCCAAAGTCGTCGTCGTGGCTCATGTTCGCTACTAGGCGCGTATCTGATGGCAGGCCTTGCGATGCACGTACTGTTTGGAATTCTGATCACACAAACACATGCGTACTATCGTACTTTCGGAGACGACAAAGTGTGGCTGAAGATTTTCGTGAGTGCAGCGTCCTCCAAGCACATCTTGATTTATTGAACTACAGGTTGGCGGAATGTTGTACGAGACGGTACCGGCTCTCTTCTATTACTACACGTTCTTACTGCTTTTCCTTTTCCAGCATACTAGAGACTATCCAGATTGTCTTGTCGAATGCTGGACTCTACACCATCGCCGTAACGGAATACTGCAACCCGACCGTCCTACTATATCCACCCAAGATATTTCCGTGGGTGATTCTCCCTACATTCATCATGCGATGCATTAGTAAGTTCTCACGCGTACCTCCCATACGTCCTTGACACATTTCCACAGTCCAAGCTTTCTTCATATACCGAATCTGGCGACTGACGAGAAGACGCCTCATCACGCTCATCCTGAGCGCATTGAACATCGCTTCTACTACCCTCGGTTTCGTGATAGCAATTCAACAGATCCGCATGTCCGCAATCCTCTACCACACGGGCGACATGTACGGCCTCCTACTCGCGTCCTTTACGCTTACTCTGGCTCTCGACATCCTCACCACCGCAACCTTTATCGAATGGCTTATCCGGCAGCGTCGGGAATGTAACAAGTCGTAGGTGTTCTGCCGTCTCCGGATCAGCGACACCCATCGTTCCTTTCGCAGGAGTAGCACTGCAATCATATGCGATCAACTGATTATTTGGTCTATCCGTGAGATTCCTGGCATCATATTCACGAAACAAGCCAGTAACACTGAGCCTCACCAGAGACCGGATTCTTTACAAGGTAATAGGCGGGCCCAGTCTTTGTGGAGCACCAAGTTTGAACGTCCTCGCGCAGCCTGGCATCCTTAGGCATGCTGGTCACGGTAAGCAACCAACCCGTCTTCTCATGCCTTTTCTGCCCTGATTCCTTCAGTTCATCCGGATGCCAGGGAACTGTACGTGCTTGATATCATCGACCATTCAACGATAACTTTTCACATTTCAATAGTTATATGGATATCATTCTACGTGATCGTCCCCAAACGTACGTTTCCATTCTCTCTTGGCCGATAAAACACGCCCGTGATTGATTCGGATCTGGCAGTGTACTCCAACTCGCTCCTTTCGAGCCTCAATGGGCGAATCGGGCTGAGGCAAAGCCAGAACGAAATGGGCGAGATCTCCATTGCCGGTATCTACTTTGCTGGCACGAAGGACTCCTCTCAGTCCGGTATTGAAGTACGTCGACCCGCGATGATGCCAATCCTATTTAGAGTTCGTTCATACTAGGTAGCACTTCCTCCCGAGAACCTGTTGGAGAAGGCGACAAGTTCGAGTGGGCGAGAGACACCCGATAGCACTGCCTAAGACGGGCCTCGTCATGTAGAAGACGTTCCTCGAATTATCACCTTTACTTATCTATAACTATCTACTTTATTCGTGTCCTTCTCCTTCAACTGTCCATCAGCGCGACTATGGGCTGCCTGTATACCGTGGCGCATCCGAAGCTGGGTTACCACTGGCATGATCAATACAAGACCTACTAGCAGATGTGAATGCCAACAATTTGCGCACATTGTCAAGGCTAAGTATTCCTAAGTCTGGGAGGTAAATTCATTGAAATGTGCGCCTTGGTGTGCTGACACAGAGACGACAGAAAAGAGTCTTCGTACGCCACTCACATTCCTAGTAATGCCAAAAGCGTATGTAGTGGAAGCTCGTGGGTGACCACAAGACATAACAAGAAAAAGATCGCCACTCCCCAAGTCGCGTTATCTCAAATAAACGACCGGCCTAGTAGTGGCTGGCTGCAAAAACAATTACACGCAGCCGGCTAGCTCTCTGACTGGGAGTCGAACCCAGCTTTCGCGCGCACAGTTCAACGATTACCCGTGACAGGCGCGTGTACTAACCAATATCCAATCTGATGAACCTGTCGGGGGACACGGTAGCCAAAAAGCCGACCGCCACCGCGGCGGCCGCGAGTATGATTGATGTTCGTAGGGTAAGTGGTACAAGTATGAGGATACAAATACAAATGGGCGGGCGACGAGAATACAATACTGGCGTGAAACAGTAAGAGACTGAGCCTAAGAAAAAAAATACAAGAACGCACCTGGCGGGGCACAGTAAGAGCTGAGGGATGCGAGACATCCTCGGCTGCATACCTAAGCTGCCCGCCAGGTATGGAAATCAACGATCGACCTAAGAGAAAGATGTGGCGCTGAGAGCTGACCACGTCAAAGTCTCGCTGTAAGCGAGGATAACGTCCCGAAGGCAGAAGAGTCTCACCTGGTTCATTTTGCGACCCGGTGGGTAACGAACCATAAGTACAGCATTTTAGATCCGAAGGATCTGTAATGAGTACTGTTGGTGAGGATGCTGTGAGCATGGAAAGCGAAATGGCGTACCTCATATTGGCCTTGAGTAATCAAAAGATTAATCTCGACCAATCTGATGAACCTGTCGGGGGACACGGTAGCCAAAAAGCCGACCGCCACCGCGGCGGCCGCGAGTATGATTGATGTTCGTAAAAATGGCTAATAAATGAGTCGGAAGATGATATCAATCATTGTTGGGTTCGGTTGAAGAGTAGTGCCTGTAGGAGAACGGGGTTCTTCCTGATATAAATCTGGAAGGTGTTTGAAGCCCAGCGTCCCGCAGCCTGAATGAGGTGGGGGGCGCATCCGTCCTCGGCCATCGCTGTCGCTCCTCCAGCTCGCATCGATTGGCCAGCAAATTGTTCGTCTGGCTCAAGGCGTCGAAGACGCTTCATGAACCAAGTTCGCGTCGGGATCTCGTTCTTTGCCGTCACCCAAAGGAAAGGATTCAGGCGCGAAATCTTGTCACGCGAGACGATGTAGCGGCGAAAGACGGGAGCGGGATTGAAATCGCCACGACGGATGATCCGTATCTTGTTTAGAGATCACCACGAGTACTTACTCAGGTCGACTCGGCACTCGCCGGGCGAGTACTCGTGACCCTAACGGAGTGTTCGGAACTCATCATGTGACTCGAGTCTTAGTGATTCGAGTCCGAACGAGTCGAGTCGACGAGTGCGCAGCGAGTACTCGAGTACACGCGAGTATTCGCGAATCAACTCGCGAGTACTCGCTGATTCGTACCATACATCATAGAAAACTTGTAAAACATTGTATATTTCTAATGAGTATCGACGGAACATCCCTAAAGGCATAAGAGAAGGCATAAGAGTAGGTAGATATATTAGCGGAATGCATAGAAGAATGTAAATAGGATACTAATCATCGTTGTTGATGTTCTTGCCACGGCGATGCTTCGCATTAAAATGCTTAGTAAGGAAGGCCTCGTCCACCAGCCCGTCTTCCCTCCACCAATTCTGTAAAAGGACTTGGGCCTGTGTCGACGCATCCGAGAGGTTAAAACGATGCTTCGTGACCACAAGTCCGGCATGCGAGAACAGACGTTCGATGTCGATCGAGGTGGCTGCAATAACCCCAAATCAGTAGGAGTTGCACAGCTAACAAAAATCGCAACTTACCGGGCACACTAAGATAGTCCAAAGCCATCTGCGCAAGAGCCCCACCTGCAGTCACGGTGATCTTGCCCTTGCTATCCGGAACATCAAGCTGCGACGCCCAATAGGAAAGCGGGTTGGTGCACGTGGTCACGACGGGCGTGCTCAAATAGTCCTCCAGCGCATCGCCGTCGGTGCCCAAATTGGCCATCGCACTGACGTTGGCAAAAGGATTAGCCACCTAAAGCGAAGCATCAGAAAGTCAGCGAAAAAAATAAGGAACACATACTGCGGGTGCAGCGACACTGGGAACTGCTGGTGCCGTCTCTGCTGGCCGATAGCGGGCGTACTCCTCACGAACATGGTCCAGGGCATTGTCGATCCATTCCCGCTCCCAGCTCTGTGACTCGAAGTAACGGGTCTTGAGCCCCGGGTGCAAAACTGAGAGCAGAGCCATTAGCGAAGAATGGCAGCAGAGTAAATCGACACTTACCCATGGAAATACGAACAATCTGGTTGTTATCCGTCTTCGCGTAGTACTTCAGGATAAGAGCACGGCCACGAGCCGCCGCCGCACGAACAACAGCGTGATTGGTCTTGTCCGTGATAATGTGATCGAGCTCGTCGACGAGCTTGTCGAAGATCGGTATAACTTGATAAATAAGGGGCACTTTCGACTTGGACAACTGCTTCGATGCGAGGACGAAAAGCTGCATTTAATATAAGTACACATCAGTCTTGAGTAACAACCACTATACTTTGAGAACCTTCTCCAACTGCTCTACAATCTGCCACTCCGCCGGTGAGAGCTTGAACTTCGACATCTTCCTCTTCGGAACCTTGTTGAATTGCGGAAGCATGACGAGGCAGTCCAGCGCAGGCCTCAGGTATAAGGCGCGATCCAAGACTGGGTGAACCGAGTTCCATCGCGTCGCAACCGCACGAACCATCTTCATTGGCTTGATCTTGACCAGGGTGCATTGTGTCGCGAGTTCTTCTTGCATCATCTGCGTGTTGAAAACGCGGCGACCAATCTTGATGATCTAGGAGAGATTAGAACCGTTTCGATAATGCCGAAAGCCCCGTACCTTGGTAATAGCAGACTTGCCGAGCTTCTTGTCGGCGTCGGTCAACTGCTGCACCTCCTCCAGTGCCGCCGCGATGTCCTCTGCAGCTGCCTCCTCCTCCTCCTCGGTCTGCACATCAACCGTGAGAAGCACGTTCTGCTCCTCCTCGTCGGGCTTGTCGTCGTCGTCGTCCATATAAACGTTGCCGACCTGGTCGAAATCTGCATTCTCATCGTAATCGGCAAAACCCTTGTTGGCGAGTTTCTTCCCAAGGAATTGAGACATAGTAGCCTATGAGCAGGTCAGGTTTTGCTCTCTATCCATCCAAATGAAATACATACCCGAGTGGACAAGTCGATCTGGTGCCCAGCACAACCGACGTATGTATCCTCGCCCGAATGAGTGTCCACCGGGAGACGGGGAATGGACTCGGCCACCATCTTCGGGTTAACACTAGCGTTATCCCCAATGAACGCAAGGGTGTCCTTCTCGTATTGGAACTCCTGAATACAGTCGACTGTTTTCTCGGCGAGATACTCGGCTGTGTGCGCCTGGTGGAGTCTGTCGGGAATTAAGTATAAGAAAGATATAGACACAAGAAGTCACTTACAGAATTAGAGCCAAAGGAAGGACTTGCATTTGGCCTTGGTCGAAAAAGGCCGCGCCAACGCCTTGAACAGACCGCTTGCCGCCGGATGCCCAGGTATCGAAAACAGTATGCTTCTTGCCGCGTGCATTCTAAGACAGAACGATCAATAACTACGCCTCTCGAGCAAAACAGCTTAAATACCTTAAGACGTTCAATGACGTTGACCTTTGAAAGCGCGTGGATCTCCTTGACATCCCGCGAGAGTGTCTTGTCGGAAGGAATGACTGCATCCGGGCGGAACATGTGTATCATCTCGGCGAGCGGGCTGTCCGTGTAAAGAGAGAACGGACGATGATTCACGGCGACGTGTTTCGCCATGAGCATGCGCAGCTTTCCCGGCGTGTAGGTAGAACCTTGGGCGAATGGCGCGAGGGACGTCTGCGTGTTGTCGACCTCCTTCTGATTGCACAGAGTCTCGTGGCGACGTAGGTTAGTGGTCGTGCTAGTCGAGGAGCCGAATCCGCGCGTGATACTGTATACTTTTAATCAATTCGTCAAGCCATGTGACGTGTGACCTGCCTGACGAAATTTTCAATTCGTCAGATTACTATATCGGGTAATAGCCGCCGCGGCGGAGCTGCGGCGGGAGCACGGCGGGGGCCCCGCCGGGGCAGTTTTCGCAAGATTTCGAGTGACAGCTGTGACATTTCGTCAGTTCGAGGTCGCCTGTGACCTGTGACTGACGAATTGATTAAAAGTGTACAGTATGTTGACCAGTCCTAAAAAATCCATTAAAAGGTGAATTTCAAGCAATATGGAAAAACGTACCGCTTGCATCTAAAGGATTGCTGGAAACCATTGTCGGTTTCGATGACCTCCGGAGGGTCGAAGTGCTTGTAGACGCCCGAGACCCAAACACGCTGCTTTTTCCCTAAGAAAAGAATTAGTGTACAATAATGATATTGAAGAAAAGAGACATACCGAGCAACTTGACAAAGAATTCCCTGTCCTGGAGCTCGTGCTCTAAGTCGATCTCGTTGCCGACACCATCCGTCATCGCAGAGTGAGTGGACACCGCATCGGACTCAGCGCCGTCGGCCTCATCATCGCTCTCATCGCCATCGCTGGCATCGACATCGAGCAATTCCGGCATGTCGTCGTCGTCATCAGATACAGTGGCCTTGCTCTGGCGAGACTTAGAGCGCGCCTTGCCTTTCCCTTTGGCGTTGGCGATCTGGGCCTTGCTGAGACCGCCGCGAGGCCTGGAAGCGACAGTAGGGCCAGCAGGGCGACCACGTTTGGCAGCGGACGATTCCCCGACTGTTGAAGAACGACGACGCTTCTCAGCGAGGGACCCGCTGGAGGACTGGCGGGAGACCGATTGCTGAGGGGCAGCGAGAGAGGCATTGGAGGCCTGGCGAGAGACAGTTCTGGGAGGCATGGGGAACGTTGGGGGAGAGTTGGTGCGGTAGAGCGAGAAGAATGCTGGGAGTGCTGGTGGGCGCAAGAACGAATAAGAATTCGATGAAGTTTGGCGTGTGGCGTGGCGCTATTTAATGTCGTTAGAAAAAGCAACTCGATTAAGAAAAACAAGCAACAAACCTTTAGATTGCGCAAAATGGGGTAAAGCGAGCTCGACGATGCGAAGATAGGCTGCTCAAGGAACGATGTTAGTGGACGATAGAGAATGCGAACTAGATATAGCATACCCAAGTCTGAGAGCGCGTCCAATTGCGCCAGAGACGACATTATCGACCATCGATTGTCAAGATGGTGCTG